GCCAAACTTCGCATTGCCCAATGACAATGGCGGGTGGTGCAATCCTCCCCGCCAGCACTTCGACCTCGCCGAGCCAGCTTTCTTGCAAATTGCTCAATATCGTGCCGGGATCGTGCCCGTCGCTTACCGAAGGTACCAACAAAACTTTTTTCCTGCGGGGGGCCTGTTTGCATTTGGCATCTACCAGTCTTTTTTACAGAAAAAATGTTCAATTCAGTATGGTATGTTCTGTCTTTTTGACTCAGTCAGTCTTCTGGTGTTGGTTTGGCGGACAGGGTGCCCTGTGCTAAGAAGGGAGGTATCAGGTTTACCGTCAACGGCCACTCCTTCTTCAACTTGGTTTTGGTCACCAACGTCGCGGGTGCAGGAGATATCCATGCGGTTTCGATCAAAGGGTCGAGAACCGGGTGGCAAACCATGTCCAGAAATTGGGGTCAAAATTGGCAGAGCAACTCTCACCTCAATGGCCAGAGCCTATCAATTATGGTCACCGCCAGTGACGGTAGAACTGTCACCAGCTACAACGTGGCCCCTGCTAATTGGCAGTTTGGTCAGACCTTTGAAGGCGGTCAATTCTAGAATTTCACCCTTTAATAATTAATAATATTAACATACGCGGAGTTGCTGCACCGCATTATTTATTAGTAGTAGTAAAGCAGAAAAAAACTATGGTACACAATAGCAATGGATTTTTTGGGACAAGTCCCAGGGCAAGGTTGGAGCAATGGATGGTCGGTGGTAGTAAAAGCTGAGGTTGCTATTCAGCACCCGCTTGGGGTTTCTTCTTTTCCTCTTCCTTTTTTTTTTAGTTTTTTTTTTCCTTTTTTTTTGTGAGTGAGAGAATTCGCTCTACAGTCCACAATGAGGCCAAAATCCGCGAGTCAATTGGCCTTATTTGTATTACTTACCACGTAGTATGTGCATTGTCATTCTGAGAAGAATTACAATTATGTTAACGGGCCGCACTATGGTCTCTATTATGTAAACGGGTAATCAAGCCTTTATTGTTCTAATGCTACTAGCTTTGCAAATGTCTTTACCGTGAATAGCTAAACTTTTTCTTTTTTTTTTTTTTTTGGTAAAGGGAAACTAGGTATTGTTCGTTTCATGAGCATGTCCACAAATCGTAACACATCATTGACCCAAAATCAGATACAATTTTTTGTATAAACAAATATAGATATATTGTAACGATTTAATACATGTAAGGTAAAAAAGATAAATGAGAAAATATTCATAAAAATTATTTTAAAAAATTAAAAAAATGACAATCCAGCTTCTGATAGCTAAAAGAATGATGCACCTATTTGCTTCCAATCTAGAGTGGGGACTACAATAATACCGTTAGTGTGGTCAGGAATGGAGTTCCACTGTTCTAATTTGATATTATTTTTTAATGAATTCAATGATGATATTGTGTATACTGTCGCCTCTCAGAGGTGTATATATGATTTACTTTTTTTTTAATTGCATTTGATTAGTGATGTTACTCAATCGATTGGGTCAAAAGAGCAAAGACCCAGGTATATCTATAGTGCAGAGCCCATGGACTCTGAATTTTTATTGGGTAGGCATCGTTTTATACTTTGGGCCAGGCTCAGCCTCCATCCAAATTGATGGATTCGCTTGTGCCGTCATGCTGGGCCGTTGAACTCCCAGGCTATGTGTCGTCCAAATCCAGTGTCCCCTTCCACCAATTGGTAATATCGGCTTACTTCAACTTATGCACCCAAACGCAGTTACCACTTGCTAACTTCACTGTGGTTAACGAATTGCCAAACAGATAGTCACTCCTAATTTCTAAATTTACTCTTGTCCAGAAAAAAATTCTAGATATGTCAAAATACAGAATTGTTTATTATTAGTATTACTGTTTTTGAGTAGTGAAAATATGAGATTTTAAAAATAAAAAAAAAAGAGAGATTTAAACTCATGATCCAAACATGAATTGAGCGGTTCAGGAGATAAAATATAAATAAAAAGTACTGGATTCGAAACCTCTTACGTATACTTAAAAAAAAAAAACTTAGGATCTCAAGAATGGCATCGACCTTATTCACAACTAGTTAACATCTCTATAAATAAACTATATAAATTTAGTTACGGAGATTCTTCATGTCATTTATCTATGTTCTCAAATTTATTCCTTTTGTCTTTTTCTTAACAGGACCCCCCCCCCCCCTTGGTTTGTCGTATGAGAATGTACGACCCAACAAAGAATCAGGCCAGACAACTCTTAAACGAAACCGTGACATGCTTGCTAGTATTATTAGCACGAGCTTATGCCTTATACTAGCAGCACTAGTTCAACAACCACCAGAAACTGGCCAAGCACCCACTCTGATGCGAAAGCCTCGACTTCTGTAGACTGTATGTATAGTCATTGGATGTTGACTGATCGAAAAGGCAAGTCCTAACAATATTACTAATAAGACGGATAACAAAATTAAAAGATGAATGATGAAAAGGTCTAATTGGTTTTTTTTTTTTTTTGAAATTTATGTAAAATCTTCTAAAAATTCTAAAAGACGTAGCTAATATTACTATTGAATACATGACAATTCATTTGAATTTAAATTTAAAATTTACTTATATGTTATATATCTAATCATGATAGTGTATATACTGTCAGTCAGTATCAGTGTATATAAAATTTACTCGTAACAAAATGGTATAAACGCGTGTAGGATTTTTCATTTTCGCCGTAAGTGAATTGAAAGGATTCGGTGGTGTTAAAGACTTGAGACAGCATGTTTGTAAGGTAGTTAAAGCTCCTCAATTACTCAAAACGGGATACAGAAACGAACAGTTTTTAAGATTAGCCGTAATCCTTCGTTGGCTGTAAAAGGTTCATCATTAATCAAACACCTTAAAAAGGTGGTTTTTGTGAGACTAATATGTACAAAAGTTCAGATCTAGAATGTCACTACGGCGTTGGTTGGATACTCGATTACTCATAATCAATAATTTGCGAGAAGTTGACCTTTGACGAGAAAAAAAAAATCAATAATTTGTGTAATTCCACCACTTCGAATAATATATAGATTAAAAGAAGACCGGAGAAATTGCTATAATATGACTTAAGAACGTGGAAGAAAATTAATTGTTTTATATCGATTAAATGAATTCTGCATTGCTTGAACTTGAAGAGTATGGCAATCGTATACTAGTACTTTTTTTTTTTCTTTCTTTTTCACGTTCATTTTAAAATAAATTTAACCATCTTGGACATTAGAATACTGTACTTCCCCATTTGATACCACCTGCCCAAAATACATTTTCACCTAGAATGGTCAGAAACAAAAAAAAATTATTATTCTAGGGTTTAATAAATAAGTCTGAATGGAATGTTTGCATGATTTTCAATGTTTGACATAATCAGTGTTTAGATATCAAAATGGAATATACCAAATACAAATTTGACTTAAATGAAATATACTAAATACGAATTAGACTTAATTGCCTTGAATTAGTCTATAGGATGTAATTTTTCTTAGTACTTTTTAAATTTGTTCTATTATAGTATTCCCCTATATTACATTAAATTTTAATATATTTACTTCAAAAAAAGGAAGATTGATGTCAACATTCTTGAATTGTAATGCTTGAATACCAATGTAAAATATAAATTACATGAAATCAAACAATTATAAATTATTTTTAATCTATTTTCAATTTTGATAAGATTCAAAAAAAAAATTATGGCACAAATTGTTCAAAAGTCAAAAAATAAAATATCTTAAAACATTTGTTTCCTAGTATAAAAGAAAAAATATTTTAAATACAAGAAAAATTAATTATTATGAAAAATTACATTCAAACATTAATTGAGCTTACAAATAAACTAAGATATCATGATGCATTGTAAAGAATTAATGTTCTTTATCAAAGCATCTGTATAAAGTGTAAATTTAGGATGAAGTGAGGTGATTTTAAATTTGCAAAGATTATAAATCACATAATCTCCTTACATTGAAATAGGATTCCACCCCCCCCCCCCACCCAAAACAGAAAAAAAAAAAAAAACCCATACCCATGAAACACAAAGCCATCATTTTTTACCTTAAGAACCACCAATGAAAAATATCTTTTTAATTTTTTTTTTGGGTTAAAATATGTTGTAGAATAGAGACTCACACAAAAGCTGCAAATTCTATGCAAAGTGCGTAAAATATGTTGTCTAAAATTTTATTGTAACTTATTATAGAAGTTTTTTAAAATTTTTTTGAATTATTTTTTTAATATTTTGAAATGTATAATTTAAATTTTTTGAGATTTTTTTAAAGATTATTGTAGTTAAAATTTTTAAAAAACTTATAACAGGCAAACTTGATACAAACCTTATACGCTAAACAAGGCCAAAATCTCGAGCCAACATGAACGGTCCCTAATTGTTTCAACCTACCGCCCAAAATCAAGGGCAATGACCACTTTACCATGCCTGTATTTCCGTAGCTACAAATTCTCTGTCGTCTTCATTTCTATCCCCAGAAGACCATTCCTCAGAATAGGCCCACTTTTTGGTAATAGCAAAAGATTTCCCTCTCTCTCTCTGGTCTTTTTATTTATTTTTTTTTTTTTGGGGATACAGGTATTTTTTTTTTTTTTTTGAAAAGGGGGATACAGGTATTAAAATTTAAAAGTTTGACTTAGTGGCCAAGTTAGAATAGTGATTTTGCAACCAACATTAGCAAGGAGGAGCAGTATAAACAAATATATATGAAATATCAAGAAGCAAATGGACCCCGGGTGAATGTGACGTCCACTTTAGATTCATCGGATAATTTTTGCATGAAACCCCCTCCCCGTATGGGCTATTACTCCCCACCCAAAAAAAAAAGAAAAAAGAAAAAAGAAAAAAGAGAGAGAGCCTCAGCTTGTCACTCGATGCAGCCGGAAACTCTTAAAAAAGTCAAATTTCCTCAGCACTTTTTCCTGGTCTTTATTTAATTTAACCACCTCCCCCCTCTCCCTTTCCCTCCTCAAAATCTCTCCCCGGGGAAATTTCTTTCTTTAAATAATCCCAGTAGTGAAAAGTTAAAACCCCATTACTATTTCCGATACAGAAATATATTATTGATAGACACATTATAGTAGTTCAAAGTAGAGAGTTAAATTGGATTTTTGTGTTTACCAAATTTGCTGACTACCTAAAATTTGGAATGATAATCATAATACAGTACTGGCGTAGTGTAAAACTTCATCATCAATTTCAGTGATCTGATTTGCTTGTTGTTCCTTAGGTTGCTCTTCCTCCTCTCTCTCTCTATCTCTCTCTCTCTCTCTCTCTATATATATATATATATATATATATATGTATTTACACACGCTAATTGGAGAATTGAATTACAATTCTAATTTTACTAAGGGTTTATGGATTAAAAGGCAGCAGATCTAGGGTTTTACGCAATGCTGATTTTAATATTCAACGACAATGCTGAATTTTTATGCCTCCCTCAGTTTGTGATATATTTGTTGAATCTTTCTTTATTGTTGTGGTTTTGCAGTTTGAGCTGGATTTGTTTTATTCGTTTTCCGAAATTCCGGAGACAGTTTATGAGTTGAGGTATTTTCTCCTTTTTTGTTTCCATAAAACTTGAGTTTATTGCTGGAATTTCGTTGAGTGTTTGATGGAGGTGTGATTTTGTGATGAGCAGATATTGCGATTGGGATTTGGGGATTGGTGATTGGTGATTGGTGATTGCGAGTTAAAAAGAATTGAAGGAAGGGGAGTGGAAGATGAGCGAGGGCCAGAGGTTTCAGCTGGGGACTATCGGAGCTCTGAGTTTATCTGTGGTTTCATCCGTTTCGATTGTCATTTGCAACAAGGCTTTGATCAGCACGCTTGGTTTTACTTTTGGTCAGTTTCAAAATTTATTACCCTTTTTTTCTTCTGGTGATGTTTGTTATTTATTTGATTCACGGTTTCGGTTTGTGAATGTAAAATCTACTCATGTGGAGTGACATCAAGCATTTTGGACCGGAAAACTTGAATCTGCAGAAAGCGGATCTTATTGAGTTATGTTGTTAGGCGATCAAATGAGAATGCTGCGAACTAGTTACTGCTGTATTGGAAGAATTGTTCGATTATTTTCTTCATTACTATGTGCTAACGTAAGGAGTAGTGATGTACCTTCTGCACATCCTTGAAATATTCACAAATGCTGTACTGGATTTCGTTTTAGACTTGCCTATGCTGCCGAGTTGATCATTCTATTGGATACGAAGCAGATTGTAGGAGCTGGTTTATAAGACTGCATACGTCAAGAAGCTAAAAGAACTTGATATTCTGAGTGACCGTTTTTTGGTCATAACCACGAATGAGAAGGACTAATAATCAATCTTTGCCGCAGATGTAGAATCGAATATAACATGCCCCATTAGCCCTTTTCATATCCAAGATATTAGCTGGCAGCATCTGTTTCCTTATTTTGATTGATTTCCTCTAATACTGATGTTGAGCAAGTAAAAAATTATTAGATTGTCTAAGCTCCTCTCTGATTTTTCATTTAAGGGATAACAATTATGAAGGATATACATTGCTTACGATATTTTGACATTGATTGACAAGCAAGAAAAGATGTTTCGCTTGCTCATATGTTAAATTCATGGTGACTGGCAGCCTATATGTCGCGTCCAGTAGCCAGCTTCTTTTGGAATTGTCTGGTAGTTTCAATGATAAACCTAGTTACTGGTGTTTTTTAATGAGCATCAAATATCTGAGCAAGCTTCCAGTGCCTATCTTAAATCTAGTAAGAAATGCATTTGATTCAGTAGTCCAAAGGATTCATTAGACTTGAAAATCTTTTGCTTTTCAAGGTCTTTCATGAAGTTAAAGGAATATTGACATCCAGTCTTGCATTTCAGACCTGTTCAACTTCACCACTAGATGAAAATTTATTCATGTTAAAGTTATTTACTGTTAATGTCCTGAAGCAATGACTATGAGTATGTTTGGATACCTAATAAGTTGTCAGAAGGTGGACGTGCACCATCTTAGACCCCCTGCATTTCTATCCTTAAATAGGGAACTTTTTGATGAAACGAAAAATGTGTGGTAGATATCATGAACTCTTTTATGTTCTTTGTCACCTTTTCTTCTGATTATCTACCTAAGATGGACATGTAGATGTAGTTCTTTATTTGAAAGAAATAATAAGGATTTGGATGATTTTTTCAAACAAAATACCTCATTTGTCATTATCTTATGGGAAAGTATCACAATTTGTAATTTTCTTACAAATATTGATTTTTTCTAATTTAATCTTATCTTGCTTTTCAGCTACAACTTTGACAAGTTGGCATCTCCTAGTCACCTTTTGTTCTCTTCATGTGGCATTATGGTTGAAGCTGTTTGAGCACAAGCCTTTTGATCCCAGAGCTGTGATGGGTTTTGGGATACTGAATGGATCATCCATTGGATTGTTAAATCTTAGCCTGGGTTTCAATTCAGTTGGTTTTTATCAGGTTAAGTTCTTTTCTTCCAATATGCTCTGAACTTTTGGTTTCAGGGTTTTCTTGTTTCTTCTTTTTCCTGTTCACTAATTGCATGCATTTACATTGTGCAACTTGATTCTATTTCCCTTCATGATCCATGTTTCCAAAGGACTGAGGTACTCGATTACTAGGCATAATCGGTGGTATATGTTTATGTCCTGTTAGAAAGAAAAAGCGTAGTAATAAGCAGTTTCATCTGATGTTGTTTACTTAGTTTTGTTGTCTTTTATTGTTGAATGTTGCTGAGGATTACTCCCTTGCTAATAGAGGTTGATGGTATCGAAATACTCTTGTTGAACATTATTGGAATATCAACTTAGTTTGTTAATCTGTAATGCACCTGATGTCCCTTCCAGCATTCTAGAAGTTGACATAAATCAATTGAGTTGGTTTACTGAATTTTGTCCATCTCAAGTTCATTTATGTACCATCTGTATACATGATTCAATGTATTTGGGTCATTTCTGAAAATGTTTCCCCATCTTTATTGCATTGTAGATGACAAAACTGGCAATCATTCCCTGTACAGTTCTTTTGGAGACGCTGTTTTTCCGGAAGAAGTTCAGGTGAAGTTTTAATATCTGCCTCAATGACTTCCGGAATGTGTTTCTTTCTTGGTATGATACTTCAGCTGATCATTAATGATAAATTCTCAACTGAAGCTAGTTCTATTTATTTGAAATTCTTCCTGTTTTAGCACACTAATTAGCTTGTGATATGCACCGATTTTTTTCTGGTTAAGTAATGGCTGTTCAAGTATTATTAATAATTGAAATGTCTGTGACGTCTTTGATGACAGTCTTTAGATGGTCTGCATGATGTGCAAAGTCTAATTTTGTCCAACTTAGTTAATCTGGTCAATTGTTGGACTTGTTCAAAGTGATCGTAAGTTGTTTGTGATGTTTCCTGTTTTAAACTAGATCATAGATGCAACATGAGAGTTAATCTACAAAGCATTAGAAGTCTAGTTTCATGCGTTTCTTGATGACTAGTCATACACAAAGTTCCTTTTCTTGAGTATATTGTTCTTCATGCTGAGATTGCAATTGCTGTTGCACTTGGCTTAGTGGTTGAAAGAAGTTATGGTAAATGGATTGAGAACCTACCCCTGAAAAACAAAGATCAGCATTTAAAAGCAAATAATAGCTCAGAGTCATTCTATAATGTGAAGTATTCATTACTTTTTTGCATGTCTGAGGAGGCAAAATTATATGCCCTGTTATCAACTGATCAATTAATACTGCTCAGTTTAGTTCTCGCCATTATTAATGCATGCACTTGCAGTTGCCTCTGCAAACATGTGCTCTCTTGTCTAAAGCTTTTGTACTTAATACCCTGTCCAGTTAGGTTTGATCGAGGGATATAACATTCTTCAGTAGAAAATGTTCATTTCCTTGCAAGTTTGCATATTAATATACATTACCACAATTTGCAGTAGGCATATCCAGGTCTCACTGGGCATTCTTCTATTGGGTGTCGGAATTGCAACCGTGACTGATCTGCAGCTCAATCTTGTTGGTTCTGTCTTGTCACTGCTTGCAGTTGTTACAACTTGCATCGCTCAAATTGTATCCTCCATTGAACTTGCTTTTATTTACTTTTTATGTTTCTTCCTCCTCCTTTAATTTATCGAAGAGAAGGAAAGAAGGATTTCCTGCCATTCTCCATTTCCATATATTTAAGCAAATCAAGCTAGAAAACTAAATGTTGCAGAAACTGGAAGTTTCTTTTGCATAGACAAAAATTCTACTGAATGAAAATCTTAACTAATTTCTGTCAGATGACAAACACGATTCAAAAGAAGTTCAAGGTGTCTTCAACCCAACTTTTATATCAATCTTGTCCCTACCAGGCAATCACACTGTTTGTTACAGGACCTTTTGTTGATGGACTGTTGACAAATCAGAATGTGTTCGCCTTCAAATATACCCCTCAAGTGCTGGTAAGCTTCAAAAGCATTATTGCCTGCAATAGCTGAATACTCACGGAACATTAACTTTTTCCTTTTAACTGCAGGCTTTTATTGTTCTATCCTGCTTAATTTCAGTTTCCGTGAACTTTAGTACCTTTCTGGTGATCGGGAAGACATCCCCTGTCACGTATCAGGTTCTTGGACATCTGAAAACTTGTCTTGTTTTGGCATTTGGCTATGTCCTCCTGCGCGATCCATTCAGCTGGCGAAATATTCTGGGGATCTTGATTGCCGTAGTTGGGATGGTAGTGTATTCTTATTATTGCACGACTGAGAGCCAGCAAAAGGCCTCTGAAGCAGCAGCACAGTTGGCTCAGGTATTTGGTTGTTCATTTGCTGTTTAGTTTTGTGTGGTGGATGTTTTTTCTCTCAAAGAGATGGGAATAGAAGGCAATCTGCATGTGCTTTCCAAAATTTTTGGTGCAATCGATTTGTAAAGAAACTAATTTGTCCCATGTTTTATTCTTGCTCTTTGTTTAAAGGCGAAGGAAAATGAATCTGATCCACTAATAAGTGTAGAAAATGGAGCAAGCATCTTAACTGATGGTGGTGCTGCAAAAGCCCCAGGATGGAATTCAAACAAGGACCTGCGGGCATAGTAACTCACCCCTGGTAATCAACTCGTGCCTCCACAGTTCCAAAGTATTGGGTATAACCCTTATAGCGATGAAGATGTCGCTGCAAAAGATTCTACACATTGTAGAATATATCATGAGCTTAGGCGCATTTTAATAGACCGGTGTGCGTCTTCTGTCTGGTAGCTCTGAGCTAAAAGATATAAGCAGTTTTGTTATTCAGGTGTGGCCTGTCGAGTATAACTTTGCCAGTTTAGGGGGTATCCTTGGTCCCGTCGAGGAAAGAGTCTTCCGTGGTTTTTCCCCAATTCTGCAATCGCTTTATTGTCGTGAAGCACACCAAGGTGTGGTGGGTATCATAAGCATTCTACCGTCGGAACTTGCATTATTTTTAGCTAATCCTACTTCGATAACATCATCATTTGCATCTCCAGTTATACATCAATGTTACTTTTGGCTCTTACTTGAAATCTCCAAGTTCAAAAAATCCTTTACTTTCGTGTTGCTTGATTATGGGTCCTGGTACTGGCGCTCCCATTATGGCCGCCGCTCGCGCTCCACTCGCCATTTTTAGTATTTTTTGTGATCAAATTGCCCACAAGTCTATGAACCCATCATCAAGGCTATTCCCTTGGGCCTGCATTAATCCCCACCACCCTCGTTGTCTCTGCCTCTGCGGAGACGATATTGATGGTGATGGTGGCAAATATGGGCGGGTTGAGCTCAAAATAGAATTACTAACATGGGCTCCCGCCCAATCTTTCCCTGAGCGGGATCAATTTGGATGGTCTAGGATGGTTCTCCCCAAACACCAAAAGTGCTTCTTGTTATATTTTTATTTATATTGATCCAATACATAACCTTCTATTACTTTTTTTTATTTCTCATTATTTTTTTTTGAAAATGGCTAAAGATGAACAATTATCAAAAAAACAAAAAGGCAGACCTTATAGCGATACTAGTTTCTAGGATTGGGTTGAAAAGAGAAAACTGAAAGTTGCTAGCTATTTATTCGATTCTACTGGAAGACGTTTGGCTAGAAAGTAAGATTTCAAAGCCAAACCAAGCGACTACATGAGGTGTTATGAAAATGACACATTTAATTTTACGCACAACCTTACCCTACCAATATCATTGAGGAAAGTAAAATTAGAATTTTCAACAAATTATTGGAAGTAATTCGCTGTGTTTTACCCGGGATGTGTACATTTTGAATGAGTTGTGATCATATATACAAGTTCTAATCAACTTCAATTAAGTTTGACAAACCTCTCTGTTCAAAAGCCAAAAAAAATAATAATAAAAGGAAAAAAAAAAAAACTTTGATCTCGTGCTGTAGGGTGTTGATTGCTTCGTCATCAGGAAGGAGGTGGGGTGCCTCCTGAGGGTTCATTGAGCCAGGCAATTTTGGTTCATTGGATCAACTGATAGACAATATGAACGAAGAAGGTGCAGCTCCGCAGGGATCTGGATGGGTTGCAAGTCCTTTCTTGAAGTACCATTTTCTAGCGGTCGATATTCTTCTTTTTCCCAATGCAACTACACCGTCTTTTTCATCAATTTGTTGAAGTAGCACTACTGCTAATGAAGGAGTCCTAAAACATCTTTTTTAACGTCTCGTTCATTTGCAGTGGCTTGCACTTGATAGAGAATTTAACAGGGTTCTAGTTGAAACCACGTTGAGTCAGGTAGCTGGTTGTCCGAGCAGGCCCTGAGTTCCATACATTTTACTATCGATATATTGTAATGCCACGTTGAGTCTGCTCTGGAAGGGTTATTTTTGTGTGAGAAATGAGCATTAATGACCTTTGAGGTAGTTTATATCATGTGGAATTGCGTTTACTTTTGACGTGGGGCTAAAAGGAAAAATGCCAAAAGAAATGTTGAGAGCTCGGAAGCGCTCAATGTCGTCCGTCCGATGGTCAGACGAGTGGAAAGACCCTTAGCTTCCAGAGCAGCGCATGGTTTCTTCACGGCTCTCAAATGCACCAGCCGGGAATCGAACCCGGGTCTGTACCGTGGCAGGGTACTATTCTACCACTAGACCACTGGTGCTTGTTGATTGGACGGCCATAGTGAGAATAGACGTTTTGAACAGCAAGGCCACAAGCGCGATAATTAAGTTGCTGAACCAAGGCTTTTTTTTTCTTTGAAATTTTATTTGCATAGCCTCGTTCCTTGTGTATTAGTTTCGCAAGCAAATCAACCATAATCCCCAAATTTCTCTAGTTGTAATTGTTATCTGCAAATCACCCAACAATATATTTCTCTGTTTTTTAACCCCCCTTATATACAAGCTAGCTTTGCTTTTGTACAACTCCTTCTAGCATATAGAAGCATTTTATTATTATTTGTGTTAAAACCATATATATATATATATAAAGTTGTTTTAGGTTCAAAAGTCATACAAGATTACACTCGAATGGAGGAGGTTAGAAAGGGTAAAACAAAATGGGCCTCCGTTGGCTCATATGATGCAGACCTGTTTCACCATCGGGCCCGTTATGTTTTTTCAAGTATAAACCCATGTATAGCTACTTGCTGATGGTCCAAATCCAAATCCATCATTTGGCTTGTAGGGCTTCAGAACTCCCGCACTATATAAGACTTCTCAAGGTGATAAGCCTCTCGCACTTTCGGATACTAAACTAAACCCTAGCTTCCTCAGCAGAGCCGTTCAGCTCCGGAGTAGAGACCCTTTCCTCCTCCACATCATTCAGTCAAATGGTAAAACGATCACTGTCTAGTAACCTAAATCTCGATCTATCTGACAATTTCCATATATTTCTGCAATAATTTCAGTAATATAAGTTTTTTGTTACAAAATTTTATTTGGTTGCAGACTTTCAAGCGAAGGAACGGTGGCCGCAACAAACACGGCCGTGGCCACGTCAAATTCATCCGCTGCTCCAACTGTGGGAAATGCTGCCCCAAGGTCAAGTTTCTTCTCTTCCTCCTTTCGATGTGGAATTTTTACTTAAGATTTTTCAGCTATATATATATATATATATATATCTATGTATTTTATCGTCTGTTTTTTTTTAAAAAATTTGCATAATGTTTGTTTACCCGTTGTAGATGTGCTTGAATCTAGCAACGCTTATTTTCATGTACTCGATTTTTGCATAGAATATGATTTTTGGTGGTACTTTGTTGATTTTCTGTAATTCATTATGGTGGATATTGTTGTAGTGCTTTTCTTCAGCGATACTGGTAGCTTAGTTATGTACGTAATTCCAATTTGTTCACTATCTAATCTTATTCAAATTGAAATAGATGCCGATGTACTACTAGGTCCTGTATCATGATCCAGAGATTCTGTCTTGAGTCTATCATTTAATCGCGATTGTACTACATTGGTCAGTTTAAGTTTTGTAGTGTGAATTTCTGCCTTTAGTTTGATGTCTGGATAACTAAATCATTTAAGCTTCAATTGTTTGTTTCTGCTCGTTTCTCAATTTCTGTCCATTACTATGGTCTCTCTGCCCGTTAATGAAATGGGAATAAATTGGACTTAGTTGATGATGATTTAAATGATGCCTTAATTTGAATAATATGTAAAAGTGTTAGTTGCTTTAATTTGGTGATATGTCGATCAATTGGTAATAGTATGTCTTTTTTGGGTACTTATATCAGGACAAAGCTATCAAGAGGTTTCTTGTGAGGAATATTGTTGAACAGGCTGCAGTTAGAGATGTTCAGGAAGCTTGTGCTTTTGAAAGTAAGCATTTGATATTGATATTTGCAATCAGATGCATTTTTTCCTTTATCTTGACTCAATGTCTAAGTGGATATAAGCTTTTAACATTTTGTTTGCTCCTTAAGTGTACACCCTTCCCAAGCTCTATGTGAAGATGCAGTATTGCGTTTCATGTGCAATTCACTCCAAGGTTGTGAGGGTCCGTTCTCGTACTGATAGGAGGATTCGTGAGCCTCCACAGCGCTTCAGACGCCCAAGGGTATCTTTCTCTAACCTTTTTTAATGGTCTGGACTTGTTAATTTGTGGGTCTTTTACTTGCTTTTGTTAATGACAACTACCTTCTTAAGTTCTTGACTGTTTCAGCCCTCGTGGGTCCTGATACTAGTAACACATTCAAGGGGGTTTAATTCAGTTTGGCTTGCATGTATTTCTGCACTTGGATTATTTAGGACCAGTTAATCTTTAGAATTGCCCGTGTGCTTAAGGTTTTGTAGCCTTCTGGTTTTTATCTAAATAAGCAGTTGTGTGCTAGTGTAACAAGTTTGCCATGTACATTTTGTCCCCCATCTACCCGCTGCTTGTTTGTAACAATTAAATCTGCAGTATTTTTTGTCAGAACTTGATATGTTTTGGGTCAGCATTTCCATTTTTTGGTTTATGGAATCATTTTTCTTATGCTCAATGACTAATGCAGGATGATTTGCCAAAGCCTGGTCAAGCCCCTCGCGCTGGTGGTGCTCCTAATGCTCCTCGTGCATGAAAACTTTAGTTCATAAAATACTCTATCATTAGGCTCTGAATTGTAGTTTTTTGGGATCGTTCTTTGTGCCATCTGGATACTTTCATGTTACTCTTTTAAGTTTGCTGAATTAAATCCGAGTTCAATTTTAGCATATCGAATTTTGTTATCCAAACAAAAAGGTTCTTAGTTCTGAATGGAGATTTCAAGTGTGGTTTAATTTCATCATTATCGACAAAAATTTATTCTGAATTAAAAGCTCTTTTCTTCTTGTTTGCGTCCCAATTTGTAACCGACCTTCATTTCAGTTAGATCCGTCAGTTTTGTTTCTTGGATATAACATATGCAAGTGGTGTGTTTGGGCTTACTGTGGTCTAGAGGGTTTTTCGGGGTTTGTGGCATCAATTAGCCAGCTGAAAAGCTGTTGAAGTTTGGACCAGGGAAGCCCAAGTTGGCACCCAACGGAAGAAAACAAAACTTCAATGGAAGAGGGGCAGGGGCGGTTGTACATGGTGGAACTTTGTTTGCACATGTCGTAATTTATTTTTAATACCGTGTAATTGTAGAATAAAATTTTGTGAGTTTCATATATGTTGTTAAAGTTGAAATATAAAATAAAATCTGGATCGCATAACTTTTTTTTGTCAAATCTTGACCGTGAATTGTGAGACACCCGTTTCTGCCCCTCTTCCGTTGAAGTTTTGTTTTCTTGCGTTGGGTGCCAACTTGGGTTTCCCTATATGGGGTGGTGATTGGTATTGGAGCCCAGTGAATTCTTCAGTTGCTTAGAGAGGAGGGATTCTCAGTGTCTTACATTCAAATGCAACTGGAAAAAGTCTAGTTGTGGCTTTGAGCAAAAGTAGGCTCCAATTAATGTCCGGCACCAGAAAAAGAAGTTCAAGTGATGTTTTTGCAACCGAGCGAGAGAAATGGAATCCTCGTAAATACCTGTTCTTCCTTATCATCTGATGTGTCCTCCTGCACGGAGAAAATCTGCTGATGCATCATAGCTGGAATTAAATATCGATAGCGCTGGTTGGACCGGTG